CTACACATGTAGTCCGGCCCATACTTTATTTAGATGCCCAAAGCTCAATTACTTAATTCTTTATTAGATCACTTTAATTTTGAGCTTAACTTTAAGATAGCATTTATACACAATTAATTACATATGTCGGCCCACATGACAAATTAAATAATTTCCCAACATCTGAAACCAATATTCCCTAGCCAACAAGATAGACCGTAGCTATTGGTATGATCATGAGACTATGCTACCTTCACACCAAAAGATATATTGGAAGTGACAAAATTTGAAAAAGTAACGAGAACAAAAAAGTGACAAAAATTAAAAAAAATGACAAAGTGATAAAGTAATAAAACTCGAAAAGTGGTAAATAATATTTAACAAAGTCTAAATTGCATTATTTTCATGTCTCTTTGACTAAATCTACAATCCTTGTTAAAATCCATATAGGCAAATTAAAATGCATTTAGAAAGACATTATGGCCTATCATCTCTTTTAGGGGTGGGCGCGAGTCGGTTCGATTTTTTTCGGTTCTAGAAATTTTCGGGTATTTAGTAAATGGAACCGTCAGTTCCAAATATAATTTTGGAACCGTTCGATTTCGGTTCGGTTCGGTTCGGTTCGGTTTGGTCTGGTTCTGTTCGGTTCCGTACTATAATTAAATTTTTTAACATTTAAAATAATACTACATAAATACACCTGAAAGTGGATACCAATATTAATAACAAAAAGTAGATACAAATACCAAGTTCAATCTTAACTTTTACAAATTAACGTAATCTAATTTAATAACATATAAATAATAAGTTGTCAAATACAAATACCAAAAAGTAAATATTACTAATAAAACTTCGATATTCATATCAATAATTCATTTGTTTCAGACCTTCAAGTATACATAAAAGTGAAATATAAATTAGAAGTCACAAAGATAAAATATTTTAAAGTATTGATAATACTTACCAACTATTTAATGTAATCATCAGTTGTTGACTTTCCATACTAACTATTAAGAAACTATACAAGAAAAAATTGAAAAAAACACAACTAACAAACATAAATAAACTCTAAGTTGTTCAACTAATAAGATTTAATAAGAAAAAATTATTAATTTGTTTAGAAAAAATAAAAGAAATTGATTTATCCAATATATTAAAAAAAAAATCGGTTCTTATTCGATTCTTCGGTTCTTAGTCGAGAACCGAACCAAACCAAACCATTCGGTTCTCGATTTGAATACCCGTTCAAGTATTTCATTTTAAAAAACCCGCTCGGTTCGGTTCGATTCGGTTCGGACATTTTGTCCAGTCCTAATCTCTTCGTTCCAGCTGCAAGAACCAAGAAGGTTCCATATTTTAATGAACTTCTCATATTCTTGCAATCTTCTTAATCCTCAGTTGTTTTCCAAGAGAACGAATCTTAACACAGCCTTACTAATTGCTTTTCAAGAAATAAAAAAAAGTACGCAAACCAAAGTAATAAGACAGAAACTGAATCATACTAATCAAGGACGCCTATATCATCATAGAAGCATTTATCTAAAAGTTTTATACCGAACTTCCTCCATTTGGTACTGAAATATGAAAACCAAAAGGTGAAGGTATTTCGTATCGGAAATAACATGGTAATTTCTAAAAGTTATATTTATCACTTTCCCTTTTATAACTGAGCATTTAATTTATATTTTTCATCCTTTTTTCTGTTTATATGTTCAAAGGAGTGGCAAAGTCGAAGCACTCTGAGACATACTCAAAAAAGTGACACACTCAAAAAGGTAACAAAACACTTTAAAAAAGTGACAAAAACTAAAAAAAAGCGAAAAAAAATTAAAAAGTGAAAAACACTAAAAAAGTGACAGAAATTCGAAAAAGTGACAAAAATTTAAAAAAAGACGAACACTAAAAAAGTGACAAAACACTCAAAAAACACAATCTACCTACTTGAGAAAATGGTCAAGTTAAGTATTAACCCACCTGAGAAAGTGTTACTTTTTCACTAAACATTACTTTTTAAAGTTAAGTGCCACTTTTTAATTAAAAAGTAAACAACCTATAAGTTGGAAGTGTCAGAAATTTAAAAAAAGCGACAATTGCGTATAGAATTAAATAATAGAAGATGATACAATATGTTGATTACAAAATATATATAGGAATTTTTGTACTTTCTCAAAACTATTATTCTTGTCAAGTAAACTGTTAAAAAACCATATTCTAGTTCTTTACTTATCCATTTACCATTTATATTAGTTTTTAGATGACTCGTTTTATTGACAATTAGTGAAAATGAATAAAGAATCTGCGGTCTAATTAATTTCTTTTCCCGTCACTCTCATCTTCAATCTTCTTGGTCAAAAATCATAGTGAAGTTGCATTGCTTTATATATTTATACTTGGACATTGGAAATGCACGCAAATGTCTCAATGACAACAAATTTAGCATTATTTCCAATAACTATGTTATGAATGTGAACTAAGTATCTAAGTAAACTGCTCTGAAACAACGTCCAAGTGAAATAACTACTACCACAACAACGACAATCACATAATAACAAGAATAAACAATAAAATTCTAGACAAGACTTTAAACGAGGAAAGAGTGCCCTAGAATTCATGAGGTAACTTCCAAGGGTGAATAACAAATGAGCTGCTGATATTCCAAATAAATTGTAGTTATTCTTGATTACTGCGATAACAATAATGGAAATAACTTAATAACAAAGGAAATCACAAAAATTCCAAGGATATCATAAACCAAGTTTCCAAACATGAAAATCACATAACCCACACCTATGCATCTTCACCTCCTGTCTTTATAGAGTTATCCGCTTTTTTAGTCCGTCTGATGAAAAAAGCAAAAGGCCATCATTGCAAAGCCCTTAATAATGATGAAGTCATCATTGCAAACCCTTCAATGACGATATAGCCAACATTAACTGCAAAGTCCAATCTTGACAAAACCCCTTAATTGAATTATGGAACAAAGGCACCGAATAAGGTGATTGAAGAAGCAACAATTTAGGAGTTGTGGGTGAGTATTTCTTGAAGCAAAATCAGTAAAGACGATGGTGAGGAAAAGCAGAGTTGTGGGTGAGGAGGGTTTCTCTTTGGTGGTGGAATCGGGACAACTGTTTGTGTTTTGGGGGTTTTGATGGTTTTAGAATGTATAATTTACGTTCTTAAATAGTTTAATTATTTAATAGAGTATTTATCAAATTAATAAAAAATTGAGGGTAATTTACCCTTATTTCATGGGAAAATTAGACACAGTACTCTAAAAAATTAACTAATTTGATTAATACTATATTAACTAATTAAATTATATAATTAGCATAATTAATACGTTCTAGAATTACAAAACCACTCGAAAACCAAATCAATAGTTCATATTCCAAAAAACTCTCAAAGAGAAACCCTCTTTACCTGCTACTCCACTTCTTCCCATCACTGTCTCGATCGATTCCGCTAGTTTTTCTTTTCTTTTCAAGTCTCCAAGTAGATTCCCTTCAGCATATTCTTCCTCGTGGGGGGTAGGATTGTGTGGAGCAAGTAATGGTATGAACCCAAATGGTTGGAACTCTAGAAATATTTTGACTTAATTCAGAATCCTGTGAAAATTTGTATCATAGATATCTTTTTCTTCTATTTATTTCACAAAATGTGTTCTGGGAGCAGCAGACTTATTTGATTGTGGAAAGAGGTGTAGATTGCCTCAAGTTATTTTGCTTTTGCCCACAGATTTCACGACCTTCCATTCTAAGAAAATGTTCCAATTAACTGTCAACAATAAGGTGTGCTGCATTTTTTGTGTTTGGACTTTAAGACCCACTTAATGGGCTGCATTTTTTGTGCTATGTTTGGGCTTATAATGATTTTGGATTGGTCCAAATACGGGCAGTAAGTTTTGCTACTATAAGGTCTGGTTTTTTATTTGGGAAGATTACATATTTAAGAGAATAAGTTTAGCTTATTTCAAAAATAAGAAAACAAGTTTGAAATTATCAAAATTAGATTTTTATTATAATTTTTTAAATTTTTATTTATGAAATAATAAATTATTAAATTAATTTATTATTAAATATTTAATTTTAATATAATATAATTAATCCATCCCACATTCACCACCTCTACCGCTCC